TTGTTCTACTCCTAAATTGAGATCCTTAGCCTAAAAGTATGCACCACACATGGGCACAATTAATAACTAACATATGTTAGTTTCATTTCACATAACTTCAGTTCCCCATTTTTCTATGAAAATTATTCACGGAAATTTAGTTCCTATTTTTTCCTGTAGATGTTCAATGTTTGAAATTTAAAATTTTGCTTCAATTTTTTCTAGAAAATATTTTCATAGAAAAAAGACAGACCTGATAGTCTGCGATTTTTTTCTGTAGGATAAGGAATGGGTTTTCTGCTTGTTTTTTTAATATAGCTTTGAATAATATATAATCTAATCACTTGAAAGTGATTAAAAACCACTTAAATTCATGTGATTGAAATTGATAACTAATAACCCTAATAAACAATGAAATAATCTAAAAAAATATTCTCAAAAAATTAGGGTCATATTTTTATATACCAAATAATGAGATTGCTATACTGGGCTTATCTATCATTTAATATGTGGTATATAATCAAATCAAAATTTAATTTAATAACAAAAACAAAACTATTTCAAAATTTCTCACACCTGTGCTGCCTATTTTAGTATTTTTTATAAGAGATAATAACACCTCGCCATTGTCTTTACTTTTTTTCACCACAAATAATTCTCAATCACATGAGATTAAAATATTTAAATATTTCCATAATATCGAATTTAAAGTTGGCAAATATTTGAGAATGGTTTTAACGACAGACAAGCTCTGTTCAAATTTTGGAATATTTTAAAAAAAAAATCAATTTTCTAATTGTCCATTTCTCACATAACTTTGTAAATTTGCTGGGCAAATTTCTCAATGGAGAAGATGATAGTTATGACGTTCGAATCACAATTCGTATTAATGTGGTTTTTTGGACCATTGGATAAACAAATAATTCTGTTAACACTTTTTTTAATCAATTTTAAATTTAGTTATTTGCTCTTAATGATAATTGTGTTGAAAATAGATTTATTTATATTTTTATTTGATTTTCACAAAGGGGCGTTAGTGACTTTTGAGGAGAAATTCAAGACAATCAAAGAAAAAATTATCTCAATATTAAAAAAAAAAATCTCGAAAAAATAAAAATTTTCCATATTTCTTATTTTAATGGCGCCCGATGTTTTATTTTGTATTTAACTCAAATAATAATTTCACACGATATAATAACTCATCGATTACATGCTCCGTAGGCACGTTTCTGACAACCCATAAAAAATTATAATTTTTTCATGGTTAGACAGCAACCGAGTAATTAGTTACAATTTTTAACTTTTCCGAATAAATAAAAACAAAATTATTTTAAATATTTTTCTAGATTATCACGTTTTTGGGTGACATGTGCTCTTCGCTGTACTCAATGAACTGTTTAATGATTATTAGGATTACCTGAATATTTTGCGATTTTTTTCATAGATTTTTTCTATAAAAAAATCACATTACCTCCTACCACTTTTTTCTATAAAAATAGCTCAGAACCTCAGTTCACAGAACCCAAATTCCAATTTCTGAACCGAGGGACTCTTGATTTTTTTCTATAAAAAAGAAATACACAAGGGTCTTACGATTTTTTCTCAGTTCCTACTTTTTATATATAAAAAAAAGAGATGCTGAGGTTCTGTACACATATTTTTTTTATCTTAAAAAAAAATGCACCACACATAACACTATTAAAAGTCTCTCTTTGGGAAAAAAAATTCACATATTTTTTTATTAATGTTGATTTGAGATTTTAAATTGAGACCCTCATCCTAAAAGTATGCACCGCTCATGGACACTATTAAAGAATAACATAGGTTTTTTGTAACAGAACTCTCGTTCTCTTATTTTTAAATTGCTTTCCAATTTTTATATCACATAGTTTTATTTTTATATTGAATGAGATCTGAGATTCTAAATTGAGACTCTTAGCCTAAAAGTATGCACGACACATCGACACTATTTAAGAATAGCATATGTTTGTTTTATTTGACAAAACTTAGGTTTCTTTATTTTTTTCTAGAATAAAATTCGCCGGGAAACTTAGCTTCCTTGCCCTTTTCTACAGAAACAAACAAGTCAGTAACAAATTCGTCAGGAACCTCGAGTTCTCTATTTTTTTTTTCAAAGAAGAAATGGTTGCTAAATACACACTCGTACGTTTTTATACTAAAAAAAACATCTCAGTTCTCATTTTTATATCACATCGTGTTCATATTTTTATCGAACTCTTAAATTGAGACCCATTGTCTAGAAGTATGCACCGCACATGGACTGTTAAGGACTAAAATATGTTTGTTTAATTTCACAGATCATCAGGTTTCAGTTTTTTTTCCAAAGAAACAAATTCATTAGGAATTTCATTTCATAGAATACAAATCCTCGGGTATATCAACTCCGCTATTATTTTCTATGAGAATATTGTTGCGAAGCTCAGCTTCCCTATATATTTTTGATGGGAAAATTCGTCAGGAACCTCTACTATAATTTGTATATCACATGGTGGTAAAATTTTTGTTGAACTCTTAAATTGAGACACTCTTAACCTAAAAGTATGCACCACACATGGGTGCTATTAAGTTTATACAAATGTTTGTTTCATTAAAAGAACCTGAGTTCCTATTTTTCAATATGGAAAATATTCACGAACTTGAGTTCCTATTTTTTCTATTTTCTTTTAAAAATTGTTTGGAAGCTCAGTTCACATTTTTATATCATCTAGAGGTCATATGTTTATTGAACTCTTAAATTGAGACCCTTAGCTAAAGGAAATAATTCACCGAAATTTATGGGTCGATTACGGATGGCAACCATAGTTTAGTGGCGTTACCAGTTCCCAAATTTGAATTATGGATGGCAACTGTTGTCAACTTCAGCTGCTTCAAATATAATGTTTCTGGTTGCTGTTTATAATAACTGAACTTTGTAGGCTTCCCATAATGGCTAATATTACTATAAAAGAACAATTTGAAGTCCTTATTGCCCGGATGGAAGCTCACTCAAATGTAGCACGGGGCTTGCGGACTTTTAGTCAAACCAAAGCCACTATCGATGATGTGTGGAAGGCCATTTCAGAAGACCTTAACTGCATTCCAAATGAATGGCAGAAAGTAGCGAACATCTTCTTTTGGGTCCATGATATGTACGTGTGTATCATCAATACATCCGACAACAACCTGGAACTTTGTTTTCGAATAAAAAAATTGTATTCTTCCCATTTTCCTCATCCGTTAATTTTGATACAATCCAACAATTACACAGTTTTTCCTCTATTAGCTGGATAACTTCGGCGAAAACCACCGACATTGTGGGTTGAACCATGCCAAGGTTGAAGTCATTGCTATGGGACTTTTGAAAACTTTCCTCCACAAAAAAACCTTAGAGCTGCATACATTTTTAAGAGAGGAGGAATTGCTGTTGACCGCCGGGCTTTTCGGAAATCAGGGTTTAAGGCTTCAACTTTTGGTAGTCGAAAATACCCCTTCAAGCTAATATGAGCAGTTGATTGAACATTTCTCTAAACGTCAGCATATACTCACAGAACTGATGGTAGTTCTAATAGATTTTATCTCCTAAATGCCTTCTAATAAATGACACACCTTGGCCATAATATTCATTATCAAAAAATAGTTCCACCGATCTTATCATCACATATAATTAGTTTTTCTGAAATATTGAATTCAATTTTTTGTTTGGTTACAATATTTCTAGTTGCAGAAGTGTCAATACAGTATTATCGACAGCAACTGAGAAAAGTTGATATTCATAATGTTAAATTTTATTTCAGTGGGGTTGCCAGGTGACATCGCAACTGGAGTTTGGTTGCTATCGATAATCGACCCATTAGTTTCTATTTTTTTCTGTAGACACAATAATTTTTTCTATAGAAGCAAATTCGTGGAGACTCAGTTGCCATTTTTTCTCTATAAATTGTTTAGAATACCAGTCCCAATTTGTTTCTATGTAAAAAAATTCGTAGGGAACCTCAGTTCCCATTTTTATATCACACAATGGTCATATTTCTATTGAATTCTTAAATTGAGACCCTTAGCCTAAAAGTATGCACCACACATGGACTACTAAGGGCTAACATATGTTTGCTTCATTTCAAAGAGCTTCAGTTACCATTTTTTAATATAAAATAATTCACTGAACTTTAGTTCCTATTTTTTCTGTAGAAAAAAATTGTCGGGAACCTAAAAAAATTTTCTATAAAAAAAAGTTTTTTTTGTATGAAAGATTTTTTTTGTATGAAAAAATTTACATAACCTCTGTTCCATGTTTCGGTCCTAAGCTCCCTTAGTATTTGTTATAGAAAAAATCGCCGCAAAGCTCAGCTTCCCTATCTATTTGATGTAGTTGTAATATTTCTTTAACTAAGATTCTTAGCCTAAAAGAATGCACTACACATGGATTACCACATGTCCGTTTCATTTCATGGAACCTCTGTTCCCATTTTTCTATGGAAAAATTCACAGAACTTCTGTACCTATTATTTCGAAAGGAAAAAAATTCGTTGGGAACCTGAGTTGCTATTTTTATTTCATGTACTAATGTTTTAATGTAAATGTTCTTATCAAATTCCCAAATTGAGACCCTTACCCCAAAAGTATGCACCACACATAAACTATCATATGTTTGTTTCATTTCACATAACCTCTGTTCCCATTTATATATGGAGAAAATTCACATGACTTCAGTTCATATTATTTTCTATGGAAAAAGAAATCGTCGGAATCCTTAGCCTAAAAGTATGCACCACACATGGACACAATTAAAGAGTAGCATCAGTTATTCCATTTCGTATAGAAAGAAACCTTAGCCTTAGATGAGGATGTCGTATAGAAAAAATGGTGCTTCGCTAATAGTAGCAGCGGGGCAGTAGGAATCTCTATCGAATTTATATTTTTAAAATTTTTATTTATTTAATTAGGACCTCTACATGATTTCAATTTTCTACTTAAATTTTACTCATTTTTCTTAACTTATTTTTTGACGAAAAACAATTTTCATTTTAATATTTCTCCACCTTGGGATTTGATAGATCTGCCTGTGACAAAGGTGGTGGTGACGGGTGTGACATTTTTTCGGGTGTATCATTTTCCGCCGGTGGCATGACACGTTTGATAGCCATTACCTTATTATCCCCCATTTTTGGTGGTATGGTGATATCCAAACTCTCGGACTTCTGCATAAACAAATAACCGCTGGCCATCAAGCCAACCAGGGATAGGGTTATCAATGTCCAACGTAACCCTGCATTAAAGCGGAGACCCCTAGGAAAAAAACAGAAATTAATTTTTGAATAAAAAATATTCTGGAACTCACAAAAATAGCGTGTATTTCAGCATATTTGTATAGGTCTTATTCAGCGCAGCACCCTCTTCGACCCAAAACATGGGCAGTACCACCTTAGGAATAGTGGCTACAGGAGTAATGCCTGGCACCGGTTCTATGTCCATGCTGAATTGTAAACGTTTGGCGGCTCGCAAGGGGGTGCCAGAGATCTGCAAGGGAAATTTTTAATTTTATTTGCGGAATTTTTAAGAAGCCGCCCGCTTTTTTACCAGTTCAAAATCAATATATACTGCATGATCATGTTCATTGGGATTTAGACCATCCACACCGGCAACCAGGGCAGGATCGGCATTATAAAAGTGAGGCATAGAGGCCAACAAAGGCCCTCCAACACAGGCTTGTAAACTCATGGTGCCCTTGGGTGGACATGTATCCAAATCCTCGGGATCATCACAGAAGCAGTGGAGCTCCGGATCGCCCTAAATCAAATCAAAAGACAAATTTTAGTTGTTTTTTCCATAGCAAAACATTTGTGAGACGTTCAGGTCCTCTTTTTTCATAAAAACCCCATTTGTAAGACTTTCATAAGCTCTTCAGGTTAATTTTTTCATAGAAAAACATTTTTGAGACCTTCAGAACAACTTTTTTCCATAGAAAAAAATCGTGATCCCTTCGGGTCCAATTTTGTGCCATAAAACTCTATAAAATGTGTCCAAGGACTCTTAAATCCCATTACAGGGCTCATATGGCTCCTTTTTTGTCTTAGAAAAAAATTTAAATCTCACCCTTATATCTCCCAAATCCAAAGTAAAATAACTAGCCGGCAGACCATGATATGAGGACTTGCGAACATAATGAGCACCCAGCGAACGACACAAATCGGGAGTGAATGCCCACAATCCCTCATCCTGATGCAGAAATGGTGGAAACACTGTCGAATCGGTACCCTTAAATTGATTACAAGCATCTCCCGGCCACACATCCTGTTCCGGCTCATCGGCAAATTTCAAAATGGTACCCATCTTGTGGACATTTTTAACACCACGACAGGCCGTGAAGCGTCCAGCATCCGAGTTATTGGCCTATAAAATAAAACACAAATTTTAAAATCGAGATTATTTATGGAAAATATCCCTTCCTCCTTACCTTTCCCATAAACGAAAACAAGAAATGCGTATCATTAACCTGTATTGCCGGTTTCACTTCGCCCGTATAGAATGCGGTACACAACGCCTTGGCGGCAAATTCATCCGATGAACAATCCACACTAATGCCTCGAAAGAATATTTCCATAAATGTCCCTGTTAAAATGGCTTTTTGATCTTTGAAAACTATGTCAATGGCCTTGGAGACTAGTTCCAACATTGCGGCACGCTCCCGCTGGACAACAACTGAAATGGGCTGAAGCGCAAAAGTAATAATAACAAAAAATTAATCAGTAATAAAAATTATGGCATATGGTTGTAATTTTTTTACGAAGCTCTTAAAATGAGACCCTCGGCCTAAAAGTATGCACCACACATGGGGATTATTACAAAATAACATATGTTTGTTTCATTTTGTGGGTTTTTCAATGCGGACAATATTCGAACATGCTTAAAATTTTTACATCATCATTGCAGTTTTTTTTTGTGCCTTGGGAATTTCATTTTTTGTAACAAGGGCAAGTATAGTAATTGCCCCATAATTGCCACTTGATTGATAAATTAGAGAGCCCGTGCGGCAAGACACAGTTGTGAGTGACTGGGTAATTGCATGTTTGAATTCTGAAAATAATTCTGTGGGAATTTTCAATTGGATTATTGGAAAAATATATTTTTTTAAACTTTGAATCGAAAAAAGAGGTTTCAAATATCTAAGCTACTGTCTTTAAACCTCTGCTCCTGTTGGTCCTTCGGAAAATATATTTTTCTTAATCTCTGCTTTTTGGGTTTTCGAAAAATTTATTTTTAAAAATGCACGCCTCATTTTTGTCCATTGAAAAAATAATTTGTAAACAATTCATACCTCATTTTGATTTTGAAAATTATATTTTTTAAAATCTTTCCCTCCGATGGACCTATAAAAAATAAATTTTTAATGCATCCAACTCTTTGTTTAATTTTAATAAACATTTTTTAAACTCCAAACTTCGATTTTTTTAATCTACCCCACCAATGGTCCTCTGAAAAATCGTGTTTAAACACCCAACTTTTTATTTCATATTGAAAAGTATTTTTTTAAAGACTACGCCTATACTTTTTTACATCTACACTGATTTTGGGTTCTTAAAATATATTTTTTAACTCTACACTTCTGTCGGACCTTCCAAAAAAAAATCGTAATGAAAAAATAGGTCAATTGGAAAATATTATTTAAAAGTATATACAGCCGAAGATCTTGTAAAAACAAAAATTTTTTAAATCTAAACTTATTTTTCGTTCTTAAAATATATTTTTTAACTCTACACTTCTGTCGGACCTTCAAAAAATATTATTCTAAAAATCTTCGTGGAAAAATATTTGTTTAATTTACGCTTCCGCTAGGCCTCCAATTTTAAAAAGCTACTCTTCGATTGAAACTTTGAAAAATATTTTTTTTAAGAAGCTATGAATTGACTTTGAAAAATATTTTCTACCAACCGACACATCTGTTAGATCTCTCGAAAAATTTAAAATCTCGATTAACCTCAGAATTTTGTTGGACCTTAAAAATATTTAAAAAATGCGGCTCTAATGATCTCTTGATAATATTTTTTTAGTCTACGCTACTGTTGGACTATTTCCTAAAAATCTACGCAATTTTTTCATTAAATTCCCAAAATGAGACCCTTCGCCTAAAAGTATGCACCACACATGAACCCCATTAAAGAGAAACATATGCTTATTTTATAATTAATCATATTTTTAATGCGGAAACAATTGCAAATGGTTCTCAAATTTAATTTTCTGGCTAAAGCAAATAACGAAAGTAAAAAATACATATTTTAAAAAATCGTGTCTTTGTTGGTGCTTAAAAAAATATATATTTATTAATTCTATGCTTCTGTTGGACTTTCGAAAAATATTTCTTAAATATCTACGATGCTATGTGTATAAGAAAAATATGTTTTTATGAATAAACAATTCCGTTTGTTTAATTTACACTTCCGTTTGCCTCCAATTTTAAAAAGCTATCCTTCGATTGAACCCTCGAAAAATATTTTTTTAAGAAGCTACGCTACGAATGGACTTTGAAAAATATTTTCTAACAAGCGACACTTCTGCTAGATCTTTCGAAAAAATTAGAATTTCGATTAACCTCAGAATTTTGTCTAAACCGATGATTCGAAATATATTTTTGAAAATAAACTCACAATTTAGTTAAATTTTCAAAATATTTAAAAAATGCGGCTCCAATAGTCTCTTGGTAAAGTTTTTTAAGTCAACGCTACTATTAGACTATTTCCTAAAAATCTACGCAATTTTTTTCATTAAATTCCTAAAATGAGACCCTTCGCCTAAAAGTATGCACCACACATGAGCACTATTAAAGCGAAACATAAGCTTATTTCATAATTACTCATTTTTTATTAATGTTAATGCTATGCTTCTGTTGGACTTTCGAAAAATATTTCTTAAATATCTACGAGTCTATGTGTATAAGAAAAATATGTTTTTATGAATAAACAATTCCGTTGGTTTAATTTACGCTTCCGTTAGGCCTCCAATTTTAAGAAGCTACCCTTCGATTGAACCTTCGAAAAATATTTTTTTAAGAAGCTACGCTATGAATGGACTTTGAAAAATATTTTCTATCAAGCGACACTTCTGCTAGATTTTTCGAAAAATGTAAAATCTCGATTAACCTCAGAATTTTGTGTAATATTTTTGAAAACAAACCCACAATGTAGTTGAACCTTAAAAATATTTAAAAAATGCGGCTCTAATGGTCTCTTGATAATATTTTTGTAGTCTACGCTTCAGTTGGACTATTTTCTAAAAACCGACGCAATTTTTTTCATTAAATTCCTAAAATGAGACCCTTCGCCTAAAAGTATGCACCACATATGAGCCCTATTAAAGAGAAACATATGCTCATTTCATTAGTAGGGTTTTTTAATGCGGAAAAAATTGCAATGCGGAAAAATTCTCAAATTGAAATGTTATCGTTGTTCGTGCTTTATTTTACCCTGTGTATTGAAATTTTCTGACAAAAGAAAATAAAGAAACTGAAAAATATATATTTTTAAAAATCTTTGCTTCTGTTGTATATAAAAATATACATATTAAAATATTTTTAAAAAATGTGGCTTTTTCATAAAATTCCTAAAATGAGACGCTTTCGCCTAAAAGTATGCACCACACATGAGTCCTATTAAAGAGAAACATATGCTTATTTCATTATTAGGGTTTTTAATGCGGAAACAATTGCCAATGGTTCCCAAATTGAATCGTTATCATTGTTCATGCTTTATTTTACCCTGTGCATTTAAATTTTTCTGGCAAAAGCAAATGAAAAATCTGAAAATATTTTTGGACGCTTTCATGGGTATAAGAAAAATATTGTTTATGAACAAAACCTTTCCGTTGGTCCAATTTTAAGAAATATATAATTTTGTGGATCGTTTGAATTTTGATTATAAATCTAGGCTTCTGTTAGACCTTCAATGGATATTTTTGAAAAAATCTACATGATATTTTCACCTAAATTCCTTAATTTAGACTCTTTACCTAAAAGTATGCACCACACATGGATATTAAAGAGAGAAGCATATGTTTATTTTATTATTTAGGGGCTTTTTCATGCGGAAACAATTGCAAATGGTTTCCAAAGTGAATTTTTTTATTTCGTTGCAAAAACTATTGAATTGAACCAAGGAAAAAGATTCATTTAAAACCGACGCTTCTGTTGGTGCTTCAAAAATATTTATTGTTCAAAATCTAAGCTTCTATTAGATTTTTTGGTTTTAGAAATTTACGATTGTTGAGGGTACGAAATATATGTTCTAGGAAAATACAATTCAGTTGGTCCTTTGAAAATATTTTTTTTTTTTTTAAATACACAATTTTGTTGGTCCTTCGGATTTTTGTTTTAAATCTAGGCTTCTGTTGGAGTTTCAAAGGATACTTTTTTTAAAAATCAGCACCATTTTTTTATGCTAATTTCCTTAATTGAGACCTTTCGCCTAAAAGTATGCACCACACATGAACTCGATTAAAAGAGGAACATATGTTTAATTCATTATTTTGTTCGTTGTGGTATTTTATCGTGGAATTGAAGTTTTCTAGCAAAAATTAATAAGGAATATGACAATAATTGTCAATAATAATTGTCAATAAATGAAATGGGCCTTTCGAAAATATTTTCTTAAAAATCTACACGCCTTGCTTGGCCTTTAGAAAAATATTTTTGAAAATCTACGTAATTTTTTAACGCAAGCAATGCCTTTGAAAATATTTTTTTTCTTAAATCTACTCCTTGCTTGGCTTTTGAAAAAAATATTTTTTTTAAAAATCCGTGCTTTGCTTGGCCTTTAAAAAATGTTTTTAAAAATTCTCGCCTTGCTGCTTGGCCTTTGAAAAAATAGTTTTTAAAAATTATCGCCTTGCTGCTTGGCCTTTGAAAAAATATTTGTTGGCTCTTGAAAAAAATATTTCAAAAAATCTACGTCTCGTTATGCATTTAAAAAATATTTTTAGAAAAATCTACGCATTGCTTAGCCTTTGATATTTTTTTTAAATTCATTGTTTTAATCACCTGTCTCCCCTTCTCCTCCGACTTACCACAACCAATGGATGCATCATGTTCAAAACTTCATCACCCGTCAATGGCTGAGATGCCTCCTTGTTAAAAATGAAAACGTTGCGCATATTATACGAAACCGTATCCTCTTCGTCATCGTCGACTAGATCGTATTTCGATTTCCATTCACTTGAAATTATACAAAAAATGTGTTATATTTATAAAAAAATAAATTTAAAATTTTTACAAAAAAAAATAATTTTAAGATTTTTATAAAAAATAATTTTTATAAAAATCCTAAATTTGAAGATTGAAATTTTTTAGAAAAAAAGTTTAAATTAAAAAAAAAATATATTTTTTTTAAATCTTAAAATCTCCAAAAACCCGAAACCTACTCAAAAACAAAAGGGCCAACTTCACGCAACGACGGCTTTTCACCCCTCATAAACCCTTCGGGATTTGTTATATTAAAAACATAAAAATAAAAATGCAACGGGAATGGGGTATTCTCCCACAGCTCACGAATATCAGAACCCGGTTTCAGATTAACCTGTTTCTTTAGAATAAATTTCAAAATTTTCGGAAATATTAACCAACCATTCAGGATGGCAAAAACGAAGACGCTACCCGATACTATCAACAGTTTCGTACGATTTACTTTCATTTCGAACGATTTGCGTTGCCTTAGATATTTTAAAAATTTGCGGAATTTTAAGAAAGTTAGAAAATAGCGGAGATTTAGAATTAGAGCCGTTGTTGGGATTTTTTTTTTATTTTTTTATGAAGAGAAATTTTTAATGGTTTTTAGATTTGAATTTTTTTCTTAAGATTTTTTCAATTTTTATTTTTATTTTTTCGATTTTTTTCTAAGACAACCGTTTGATTCGACCCGCTCGTTTCAACTGACTTATTGCCATTTTGTCGATTATTTAATTCCTCCTCCTAAGTCAGTTTTATTTCATTTTTTCCCAAATCACCTTAACATTTTTTTCCATTCAATATCTACTTCTAATGGTACGTGCGAACTTTTGCAGTCCAAAACAAATCGTTTTACATTTTTTTCGATACGAGACAATAGAAAAAAATCATCGTCGTTGCTGCAGCAACTGTTATTGCAATTGTTGCAATTTTATTTTACAAAAAATCTTCACATGCCTATATGTATGAGTGTGTGTGTATGTGCGTGTGTGATCCCCCACCCACACGTATCCAACCCTTCTGCCTACCAATGTCTAAGGGAAAAATCGTATCTGAAAATTATTTGCAAAAAATATATAAATGCTGATTATTACCATTATTTCCTTGTTTCAATTATATGGTGTCTTAATGAAATCGAGAGAATATAAAAATATGCTCACTCACTTCAATTACAGTTGAGGGGAAAAGTGTGTAGGAATTTTGAAAAAAAAATTAAAAAAACCCACGCCTAAAAATATGCCCCGAAAGAATATGCCTTGAAAAAATCCCTGCCTTAAAATATGCCTAAAAAAAATCCTGCCTAAAAATATGCCTTGGAAAAATTCTGCCTAAAAATATACCTTGAAAAAATCCCTGCCCAAAAATATGCCATAAAAATTATTTGTAATTAATCCACGCCTAAAAATATGTCTTCAAAATTATTTTTCATAACTCCACGCATAAAAATTTGCCTTACAAATTATTTTTCATAAATCCACGCCTAAAAACATGCCATAAAAATTATTTTTCATAAACCCACGCCTAAAAATATGCCTTGGAAAAATTCTGCCTAAAAATATGCCTTGAAAAAATTCCTGCCCAAAAATATGTCTTAAAAATTATTTTTCAAAAATCCACCCCTAAAAATATGTCTTCAAAATTATTTTTCATAACTCCACGCATAAAAATTTGCCTTAAAAATTATTTTTCATAAATCCACGCCTAAAAATATGCCATAAAAATTATTTTTCATAAATCCACGCCTAAAAATATGCCATAAAAATTATTTTTCATAAATCCACGCCTAAAAATATGCCATAAAAATTATTTGTAATTAATCCACGCCTAAAAACATGCCATAAAAATTATTTTTCATAAACCCACGCCTAAAAATATGCCTTGGAAAAATTCTGCCTAAAAATATGCCTTGAAAAAATTCCTGCCCAAAAATACGTCTTAAAAATTATTTTTCATAACTTCACGCCTAAAAATATGCCATAAAAATTATTTTTCATAAATCCACGCCTAAAAATATGCCATAAAAATTATTTTTCATAAATCCCCGCCTAAAAATATGCCATAAAAATTATTTTTCATAAATCCACGCCTAAAAATATGCCATAAAAATTATTTTTCATAAATCCACGCCTAAAAATATGCCATACAAATTATTTATTATAAATCCACGCCTAAAAATATGCCATAAAAATTATTTTTCATAAATCCCCGCCTAAAAATATGCCATACAAATTATTTATTATAAATCCACGCCTAAAAATATGCCATAAAAATTATTTTTCATAACTCCACGTATAAAAATTTGCCTTAAAAATTATTTTTCATAAATCCACGCCTAAAAATATGTCATAAAAATGATTTTTCATAAATCCACGCCTAAAAATATGCCATAAAAATTATTTTTTATAAATCCACGCCTAAAAATATGCCATAATTTGTAATTAATCCACGCCTAAAAATATGCCTTAAAAGTAATTTTGAAAAATAGTTTTTTAAAAATCCACGCCTTGGCTGGCCTTTGAAAAATAGTTTTTTTAAAAATCCACGCCTTGGCTGGCCTTTGAAAAACTATTTTTTAAAAATCCACGCCTTGGCTGGCCTTTGAAAAACTATTTTTTAAAAATCCACGCCTTGGCTGGCCTTTGAAAAACTATTTTTTAAAAATCCACACCTTGGCTGGCCTTTGAAAAACAATTTTTTAAAAATCCACGCCTTGGCTGGCCTTTGAAAAATAGTTTTTTAAAAATCCATGCCTTGGCTGGCCTTTGAAAAACTATTTTGTAAAAATCCACGCCTTGGCTGGCCTTTGAAAAATTATTTTTTAAAAATCCACGCCTTGGCTGGCCTTTGAAAAATTATTTTTTTAAAAATCCACGCCTTGGCTGGCCTTTGAAAAATTATTTTTTAAAAATCCACGCCTTGGCTGGCCTTTGAAAAATTATTTTTTAAAAATCCACGCCTTGGCTGGCCTTTGAAAAATTATTTTTTAAAAATCCACGCCTTGGCTGGCCTTTGAAAAATAGTTTTTTAAAAATCCACGCCTTGGCTGGCCTTTGAAAAATAGTTTTTTAAAAATCCACGCCTTGGCTGGCCTTTGAAAAATAGTTTTTTAAAAATCCACGCCTTGGCTGGCCTTTGAAAAATAGTTTTTTAAAAATCCACGCCTTGGCTGGCCTTTGAAAAATAGTTTTTTAAAAATCCACGCCTTGGCTGGCCTTTGAAAAATAGTTTTTTAAAAATCCACGCCTTGGCTGGCCTTTGAAAAATAGTTTTTTAAAAATCCACGCCTTGGCTGGCCTTTGAAAAATAGTTTTTTAAAAATCCACGCCTTGGCTGGCCTTTGAAAAACTATTTTTTAAAAATCCACGCCTTGGCTGGCCTTTGAAAAACTATTTTTTAAAAAATCCGCGCCTTTGCTGGCCTTTGAATTTTTTTTTAATCCAGACCTTGGCTGGCCTTTGAAATACTATTTTTTAAAAATCCACGCCTTGGCTGGCCTTTGAAAAACAATTTTTTTAAAAATCCACGCCTTGGCTGGCCTTTGAAAAATAGTTTTTTAAAAATCCACGCCTTGGCTGGTCTTTGAAAAACTATTTTTTAAAAATCCACGCCTTGGCTGGCCTTTGAAAAACTAATTTTTAATAATCCACGTTTTGGCTGGCCTTTGAAAAAATATTTTTTAAAAATCCACGCCTTGGCTGGCCTTTGAAATACTATTTTATAAAAAATCCAGGCCTTGACTTCAAAAAAATTTTTTAAGATCCAGGCCTTGTATTGGCTTCCAAAAATATTTTTGTAAAAATCTACGCCTTGGCTGGCCTTTGAAAAAATATTTTTCTATTGTTCGAACACTTTTGCACTTTAGTGTAATTAACATTGTAGATTCTATGCGTGCAATTTTTTGTCATTCTTTATAAATATTTTGAACTCCTCATAAGTCTAATTCGAAACGTTTTGCTGTTGCAATTCTAATTGGAGGGGGAGTACTCCTCTGTCTGGGAATCAAAAGTGACCCATTGTGTGTGTGTTTGGAAGGGCGGAACCTCTGTCATTTTTTTTTCGAAATTATACTATCACATCAACTGGAAATTTTTATGCTTCATTGCTTATTTTTGCAAAAAAAAAAAAAAAAAAAAAAAAATGGACACTGGGAAAATACAAAAAATAATTTAAAGTCGAAATTTTGAATTCAAATTGAGGTCAGAATGCCCTCCACATTTTTAATTAAAAACATATTTCTTCTCCGAATTTCTTTCTCTGTATTTTTGGTATTAACCAAGTACTCGATATTGTCCCTCCCCTATAATTTTACAAGCCAATGATGATCCGTCACACGTGGATGATGACGTCGGAACTCTTGTTTTTTTTTCTTTCCAAGAAAAAAAAATCTAAAATTAAATTCCGCAGACAGACTCAGAAATTAACGAATGAAAAGGAGGTGCCAATTTTCGCACCATTAATGTAATTGTTGGCTAAAGAATAAGCAATTTGAAAATAATATTCAAATATTGAAATGGGAATTTAAAACAGTTGGACAATTTCAAATCATAGCTCAAATGCAGAGATGGGAGATAAAAACCATTTTCAAAAGAAAAGAAATTGTCCCGCAGATCCCTTCAACGAAGTGATAGAATGTTGAGATTGTAGATTTTTGCTTCGACAGGGACTCCTTAATGGAAAAATGTTAAAATTTTCCATCTAAGCAGAAGTTGAGAAAAAATGTAGCATGGGAGAAATTTTTTAAAACTCCAGTCATGAACCGATTTTTCCCAATTTCAATAGGGTTCGTCCCTGGGCCGAATAAGGACGAACCCTATTGAAATTGGGAAAATCGGTTCAGATTTAGATATAGCTCCCATATATATATTTAACCGATTTAATGTAAACGGTCCCTATATATCTTTCGAATTGCACGAAATTTGGTGCAGTCTAATCATTTAGGACTAAAATGATGTCTGCCAAGTTTCGAGAAAATCGGTCCAGATTTAGATATAGCTCCCATATATAGTTTCGTCCGATTTCATGTAAATGGTGCCCCAAAGTCCCTATATATCTTTCTATTTGCACGAAATTTGGCATAACGTACTGAATTGAGCCTAGAATGATGTCTGCCAACTTTCGAGAAAATCGGTCCAGATTTAGATATAGCTCCCATATATAGTTTCGTCCGATTTCATGTAAATGGTGCCCCAAAGTCCCTATATATCTTTCTATTTGCACGAAATTTGGCATAACGTACTGAATTGAGCCTAGAATGACGTCTACCAACTTTCGTGAAAATCGGTCTAGATTTATATATAGCTCCCATATATATATTCGTCCGATTTCGTGTAAATTGTGCCCCAAAGTCCCTATATATCTTTCGATTTCCACGAAATTTGGCATGACGTACTGAATTGAGCCTAGAGTGATGTGTCTGCCAAGTTTCGAGAAAATCGGTCCTGATTTAGATATAGCTCCTTCTTATTA